TCAGGCCAATGAGAAGAGGGAGACTGAGGGTCCCTAGGCAGGCCGAGCCACTCCCCTACTTGTTGGTTATACTGCCTCAATAATGCCGGAATGCTGAATTGTTTTCCTTCAAAGACCACCCAATTTCGGGATCTCCAAATACACCACAAGATAGCAATTACCGCCATGAACTGCGGAGGTTGATGTAAGATAGCCAGCAATTTCTTGAGGAAGAGGGGGAATGTATGACGGGGCAATCCCTCGCCAAGAGAATCAAACCCCGCCTGCGACCACAGAGCCCTAGCCACAGGGCATTCAAAGAACAAGTGCTCCATTGTATCCTTTGGAGCCCAGCAGACAGGACATCGGGGTAGGACCTCCACATCCTTTTCTATAAGAGCCTCAGTCGTTGGTAAAATTCTGGTCAAGATTTGCCAGACAAACACCTTCAGTTTCGGAGGAATATTGGCATCCCAAACCCGGATCCAACTCCGCTTGTCCATCCAACTAACCTGCGCCCGCCATCTCCCACTCTGCTGGTCAGATAAACCGCCAAATGATAAGCCGATTTGACAGTAAAAATTCCATTCTCCGTGGCATGCCAGATTAATCGATCCTCGATATTCTGCCGTGGCAGGGGCAACGCCTTAATCGCCTGGCAAGTTAGAGGGTCAAACCTTTGACTCAGCTTATCTTCGCACCAACGCCCTTCCCTGGGATAGAGGATAGCCGAGACCGTCATTTCCCCATCTTCCGGCAAAACCCGAGGATTATACACAGGATGAGAAGGAAGTTGAATTGGGATCCAGTTTGAATCGAGCAACGGAGCCTTCTGTCCATTCCCAATCTGCCACCGCAAACCCTTAGTCAATAACTGCCGACCAAAGAGAATACTCTGCCAACCCTAGGATGGGCGGGATCGTGCAGTAGCCGAGAGAAAGGATCCCTACGGGAAATACTTCCCTTTATAGACCTGGGCTAAGAGGGATTGAGGTTCAATCAGAATACGCCATCCTATCTTAGCCAACAACGCTTGATTAAACTATTCAAACCGGCGAAAACCCATCCCCCCTCATGCTTACTTCTACACAAATTTCTCCAGGAGACCCACCAAATCTTGGAGCGACCATCCTCAAACCCCCCACCAGAATCTGGCCACATGCTTGTCCAGGAGGTGACAAAGCGATAACGGCTGGCGAAAGCAGGACATCACATGGAGCGGTAGAGCTAAGGCGACAGATTTAATCAGAGTTTCCTTAGCTGCCCACGATAAAGTTTTGCGTTTCCAACCCTGCAAACATTCTAAAAGCTTCTCCTCCAGGTACCGAAAAGTGGTCGTCTTGGACCGAGCAATCAAAGTGGGTAGACCAAGGTATTTATCCTGTACTCCTACAGCACCTACGCCAAGGATTGCCGCCAAGAACTCCTGATCTGGTAAAGAGACATTCTTACTGAAGCAAACAACCGATTTCTCCAAATTTACCCTCTGGCCACTAAGCTCCTCATACTCATTAAGAACTTCTATCAAATTCTCACACTCATGGAGGGAACCACGGAGAAATAAGTAAGAGTCATCCGCGAAGAACAAATGAGATATGCGGGGAGCCCGCGGGGACATCTTCACTCCTTCCAACCTCTTTTTTGAGATGGCTTTACGAAGCAACGCAGCAAATCCCTCCGTGCACAGCACAAAGAGAAGGGGAGAAAGGGGATCCCCCTGTCGGAGCCCCCTAGAGGGCGCAAAGAAACCAGCCGGAGATCCATTCATGAGGACCGAGAACGTTGAAGACCTCAAGCATTCAAGAATCCACCCACGCCAGACCGAATTAAACCCCATTTTCTCCAAAACCGCAAGAAGAAAGGACCATTCAACTCTATCATAGGCTTTCTCCATATCAACCTTCAGAGCCATGTACCCCTTTTTACCCCGGGTTTTGATTTTCAAATAGTGCATTAACTCATGGCCAATCAGGATATTATCCACAATCTGTCTTTCCCTGATAAAGGCTTTTTGGTCGTCCGAGACAATGATAGGCAAAATCCCAGCAAGCCGTTCCGCCATAAACTTAGAGATCACCTTATATATGAACTGGCATAAACTGATAGGCCGAAGTTGACGCATGGACTCCACCTGGTCCACTTTTGGGACTAATGTCAACCAGGTGTGATTGAAACTTCGGAGCATCCTGCTCGTAGAAAAGAAGGATCTAACCGCAGCCACCACTGAGTCGCCAACAATCCCCCAGTAGGCTTTAAAGAATTTTCCCGTGAAGCCATCTGAGCCAGGTGCCTGTTTTGAGCCCATTTCAAAGACCGTTTTGCGGATCTCATCAGGACACACCTCAGCGGTTAGGGTAGCATTCATTTCTGGAGTCACATTGGAAACAATGGGAAGGTCAGCCACCCGCTCATTCATATCATAAATCTGAGATTCCGAAGTGAAGAGGTTTTGATAGAAGTTGGTCGCGACGTCCGCCTTCCCTTTTTCCTCTGTGACCCACTCCCCATTGTCATTAAACAGTCCTGCGACAAAGTTTCTTTTTCGCGGGGTACGCGTGATCGTGTGAAAGTAGGATGTATTTTTATCCCCTTTTTTCAGCCAATCGACCTGCGATTTCTATTGCCAGTACTGCTCCTCGGCCTCCCACTGCCTATTCAATTCTGTTTCTAAATTTGTCACTTCCTGCCAATTAATCGGATGAACAGCTTTTATCTTGGAAATTTCATTTTTCAAGGTATGGATATTGCGCAAGGAATTTGTGGTACCCACTCGGCTCCAATCGTAGAGCAAATGTCGGAGCTTTTTCAACCTTTCCCACAGCTGAAACATCGGAGTGCCCTGAATTTGTTCCTGCCAAACGTACCCTACCATAGACTTGACTTCTGGGTTCTCGGCCCACCTAGCATCAAATCGAAATAGGGGGCGACACATCCGGACATAGGGCTTATCAGACAGAAGTAGGGCCCGATGATCAGGTCCTTGATCAGTGAAGTGTTTCACTAGAGTATCCGGAAAACGATCCATCCAACGTTGGGAGCACAGAACCCTATCCAGCCTTTCCCAAATACAAGCCACACCACATTAGTTTGTTTGTCCAAGTAAAAGGGTCACCTGGGTCGTGCAACCCAAGGTCTTGGACCAGATTACGAAGGTCTAGAGCTTGAGAAGCATTCCAAGGATTCCCCCCGTCCTTCTCTCCTTCATTAAGGGTCACATTAAGATCACCAATTATCACAAAGGGGTCCTGAAGGACTTCACAAATATCACGGATATGCACCAGTTGTGCCGCCCGCAAAGCGATATTGCAGCTTAGGTAAACACAGAGCACCACGTACGAAGAACCATTTTCATTAATTCTAGAACCAATACAAAAGCTCAAATGATAAAACACCGAAGCATCAACTTCGGGGGACCAAGCCATTACAAGACCACCAGAACCATTTAAAGCATCAACAAAGAAACAATGAGCCGACTCAAACCCTAACCCCCTCAAACGACGGGAAACTACGCGCCTGGACGATCTTGTTTCTGAAAAGAACACAAGCTCTGGCTTATTGGAATGAACTAAACTAAAAGCTGATTGGAATGTGAGGGATGGCCCAATCCCTCTCACATTCCAGGCCAGAAGCTGCATTTATCTGCTTAGGGCCACTCTTGGCTGGCTACCTCCACCATTTCAATTGTTGTATTCTCCTCCACAAATTGCCTCTTCGGGGTTGGGCTTTCCGAAAATCCCCCGATTAAATCTTGGAGAGGCCGTTTACGAGTCTCATCCTCAAGATTAGAACCATATTCATTCAGCTTCACAATCATTTCCCCTTCTGCAGGCTCCGAGTGTTCATTGATGACGAGATTCGTCTCAAAAGCAGCTACCACCTGTTTCACCTGCCCTGATTGAATCTGAGCACTAGGCGAACCCCTACTTTGAATAACAAAACGGAGCTCATCCTCATCAGACTGAGAGCCATCAGAAACCACTGGGACCTTCACGTCATCCACCACCAATTTGCCTTTCTCAGACACAGGCCAAATCAGAATACTTTCCTCTCCTCCTTGTTCAGTCTGGGTAACAGTCCCCTTATGGCTGCCTTTCTTCTTCTTTCCGGTGCGACTCGAACCCCCCTGGGCCGGGTCAGCCTCTAGTTTTTTGGGTCGGTTCAACCCAGCACCCGATTTCGGCCGGACTTGGCGGGGAGCAAATCGCGCCTTGGAGGTCCCCGTCACCATTTTCTTCTCCCCCAACTTCACTAGGCGACGACCCTTTGTTTTTCCCTCAATTACTATGACAGGAGCATCGTGTACCAGGGGCGGCTGGTCATCATCGTCAGATTCCTCCAAGATGAGCTGTCGACGCCGGGCTTCCATAGGACCAAGTTTTGCGTTTTTTTCCTCCGCAGGCGCATGACCAGCAGCCCTGTCGGAGAGAAGCTCCGGCGATGCAGACGCCCCCATTTCCTGTGAATGAGACCGGGCGGTACTATCTTGCCTTCTCCCACCCTCCCAACTCCTATTCTCGGTATGGGGCATGGGGAAGTCCCCCTTGCCATCCTGCTGATTTAGCACACGAGGAGGGCGCTCCACTCGTCCTAGCTGAATCGTCGGAGATTTTGCCATCTTGAACCCCCGCGGGCTTTGGCGGCGTTGTACTCCAGCAGGTGCCGCAACAGTTGCTCTCCGCGGCTGGACAGGTTGCTGCCGAGCCTTCACATGGTATGGTGGCACGTGTCTCACCCCTCGGAAAAGGGGGGTTCGTATCATCATTGTCATAGATCCGGGTACCCAGCTGGCGAGTGGACATATGGGAGCCGAACTTTTCCTTACGAGTTGGCGGGTCAAACGTACAAGCACGCATCAGGTGGCCCACCCTGCCACAATGATAACAGAAACTGGGTAGATATTCGTATTTTAGGCTAACCCAAAAGGAGCATGTATCATCATTCGTAGCCAAAATCTGGGAGCGAAGTGGTTTCGAGAAATCGATTAATGCCTTGACTTTCACAAACCAACACCCAGTATCTTTACAGGCAAAAAGACTTGATTCGAGCACTTTGCCGATAGTAGAGTTCACCATTTTTCTCCCGAATTGTTGTGTGCAACATTCTTCTTTGACGCCCCACAATTGAACCCGGAATGGGACAACTGCAAGATCATCAAGAACTTGTTTGGTAATCACCGGGGTCCATGGACGAAGGTGGACGATTTGATCATTGAGGACCCATGGGGTACGTTTAAGCACCCAGATCTGCGCCTCATCACTAGGAAGCATGAACTCAACCAACCCATGCTTAGCCAAAACCACCCTAAGCCGCCCTTGGATGAGCTATGGTGTGAGAGCAGCCTCTCTCAATTCCGTAGTGGAAATTCTGTTCGAGGTGAAGACTCGACCAAGCAAGGAGTGAGAAGCACGATATTTCGTCGATTGGACCTCTTCCATGGAGAATTGCACCACTTGATCCGAAGTTACGTGCGCCATGGTTTGAACCTGCAAAGTAGGTTCTTTAATGTTAATAATCATCTCAACCCCCCAACCTGACGTGGCCACCTAAACCCCATGCATGCAAAGCGTCTATGGCTACGAACAGCGGTCACGTTGCCAACGTCGCATCCACCCGAACGGTCAGTTTTGAGCAGCGGGCTGGCTAGCAACTTAAAGGATCGAGGGAGAAGGGGAGCGACCAGGGAGTTACCTGCGTGGGACGGGATCCTGGGATTGACAACGGCAGGCTCTGCTCGTGGTTGTTCTGTAGCTCAGGTTGAGGTTAAACTCCGAGTTTGAGAGCCAACAGCGAGCTTCTTAAATAAGAGCCGTGCCAAGTCACCAAAAGGGACTCCCAGTCCCACACGGTTTTGGGGAAGTAGATATCTCCTCGAAACAGAACACTTCAACCAGGAAATCGGAATTTGAGAATCAATAGTGAAAATCCCGTCATTCTCGGAAACCGAATCCAGAGGAGATATCCTCCTAACCATCAGCCGTCTAGTGGGAGGATCTTTTTGCCAATAACCATTGACGGTGAAAGTCCGGTCATCGGCAGGAGGCTCACCTTCCGGCCGCCGGAACAATTCGCTTGTGACCAAAATAACGGAATCCGAAGATCCCGATGGAGGAGAGGCATTCCCGATTGCCATCTTAGAACTGGAAACCATAATGGTTTGTTTGAATACCAGCTCCTCCAATTCCAATTCCTCCATTGTAGGAAGCTTAAAAGACCAGGCGACAGCGTTAACAGATCGCCGACGCTTCGCGGTCTCCAAATTACAATCAGCCAGGGTTACCCCAAACTTTCGTTTAACTGTGCGATGCTTGGTTCTTTGAACAATATTTTTATCATCTATGGACAGCCGCCCATAGATATGAGCCACCATTCTTCGTCTGCAAACGGCGGCGGATCGGGAGTCGGAGGCCCCTTTTGGCATCTCCTCTGCATCCTGATCCGATTGATCACCCATCTTCTTGGATTTGCGGTGTCGTTGTCGTTGTTGATTGTTGAGACAGGCCAGGAAGATCGAGAGAACCATGGCGATCAGAAGCTGGCCGAGCCTTCGCAGGTGGCGAAGGAAAGAGGGGAGAGAACTACCCATTATTATTATTATTTATTATTATTTTATCCTGCTTGAAATTTTGTCTAAACTTATATAATATGTGCATTTACTTGTTAAATAAACAACAATGAAAACAAATTTGAGTGTTGGCATTTGGCAAAGGTAGGGGCTCTGGAAACTGTCACGAATACACGTAACTTTGGAGGGAAATCATATATATATATATATATGGTGGTGTATTCGGTGCACCCACTTTTTTGGGTGCACTCAATGCACCGCCTCATAATTGTCATTATGAGCATGCGATTTATGTCAAAACGGTATCAATTGTTGCTTATGATTTTATGAACTAGAAGCACATGAATTTGAAAAAAAATCATTCAAAATTTACTTTAATTTGAAGGATTTAGAATTTGGGGATTTAGGGTTAGGGTTTAGGTTTACAATTTCGGATTTTGGGTTGTGATTCAAAATTGAAGGTTAAGAGATTAGGGTAATAGATTGATTTGTTATGATTCTATGTCATATCATCATATTAGATTGATAGTACTAATTAAAGTTCAAAATTTGATTTCCTATGGACACTTTTAGAGTCGGGTGCACTGAGTGCACCCAAAAAAGTGAGTGCGCACTCGTATGCGTTAGACACATACTATGCGACAGGATTCTCTACCGTAGATCTAATCTAACGGTCATCATAAATTACATTAAAATTAGGGAAACGACTCGTCTAACGGTCATTAGTCATTGTTTACAGGACGTAAAGGTCATAGTCTTTCACCGTCAACTGATTCGGATTCGTCGCGAAAGGGTAGCTGTCATCTGCGACTTTAAAAACAGATGATGATGAGCCAAAGTCGATGTAGATCAGAAGCAGGGACGATGATGATGATGGACTGATGGTAAAATTAGTGGTTTGCAATTGGGGTATCTAGAAAAATCGTTATGACGATGATGGTGGTTTACGATTGTCGAATTGGGGCAACCTTTTAATGGAACTTTATTTTATCAATTGTATAATTTTTGGGTGTTCATTAAAAGATCTAGAAGAAATAAGGTATCATCTGAGTCCTCACAAAAACGAATAGGTATCATGTGAGAAAATAAAACGCAAATTATTATTGGGGGGCTATATAGCACATATAATTATTTAAGGGGTGCAAGTAGTAATTATTATTACTAATTTTAATGTAATTTATAATGACCGTTAGATTATATCTACGGTAGAGAATCCTGTCGCATAGTATGTGTCTGACGCATACGAGTCGTTTTCCTAATCTTCAAATTTAAATTAAATAATTTAATTCCAATTATTAAACACCGTTAGATTAGATCTACGGTGTAGAAATCCTGTCGCATAGTATGTGTCTGACGCATACTATGTGAGTGCGCATATGATTATACAATGTATCAAATTTATAACTGAGTTAGTACAAGAGTAATTTACCACTACATTAAAGCTCACTTCTTGTGTTTTGATTTACATAAAAATTAATTTGTACACTACAAATGAAATCTTCAATTGATACAAATCACTATTCGGATCCTGTTTATCAATTATCCTATTCGATTTTGAAGTCTGAAACAGAAGCCTCCGCTACTAAACTCTTCTTTTCCCAGCGAGTTGGTGTCTACATGATATTAAATATAATTATTATATATTCATAATTTGAAAAAAAAACACATCTAATTTTAAATTCTGACTCAATCTATGAATTTGAGTCTATAAAGTCTGAGGGTGCAACTTCCCTTTTTTTTATAGGTGGAAATTGGAATTGAGATTTGAATTTTAGCTGAAGTGGGGAAGTGGAATAAATTTGGACGTGAATTGCGTAGGTAATGTATGGAAACTTGAAAGTGAGACACCTCTCCCAATCGGAGCATTTCTACTATGCTATATAGTATTAGTGCTTTAATGTACAACTTAAAGTTGTACCATAACATTAAATGTATAAGTTTATGTTGTATCATAAAACAATTTGTACCATTATGTTATGGTACAACTTTCCAACTTGAAGTTGTACCATCACATAAAGGTACAAGTTCAAGTTGTACCATAAAAGAATTTGTACACAAAGTATAGGTACAATATGAAGTTGTACCATAACGTAAATGTACAATTTTAAGTTGTACCATAAAGACAAAACCCTATAGCACCAATACTATATAGCATTGTAAAATTTCTCCTCCCAATTGTTCTCTTTCTTTCTTAACCTCGCTTCCTACTGTTTCTAAAAATAAATAAATAATAAAAAAAAAACATAGCTTCCTACTTTACTTGTACATCAATTTCTTTCTTAACCTTCCTATAAAAAAAAATCTTCCCACCGAAAAAAAAATCTTTCTTAACCCCGCTTCCTACTCAGTTGTAGGGGAATGGATCAGGTCAGTAACCTTATGGTGAGTAACCATGAGTAACCCATCCACATCAGCATGACATCAGCATCCTCTCTCTCTTGGAAAGCCTTTAAATTTCATCTCTTTAATCTTTGACGGACGATTTATCACTCATTTTAAGTCAAAATTTAATTTTTTTTGCACAGTTAGATCAGATTAATTGTGCTCTTCAAAATGATATCCACTTTATTATATTTTTCGAACAAAAAAAATTGAGTCATTTTTTACCAGTCTATACCATATGGTATTGACTGGTATTAAAATAAAAGCATACCTATGGTTTGAAAAACGTACCATGGTGGTATGAACAAACCAAGAGTGTAGGATGGTTGAATACATGATAGTAGAAGTATATTAATTGTCATTTACGACTTTTAACATTGTATACCACACAATACCACCCCGTACCAGGGTGGTATTGTATGGTATTGTGTGGTATTTTTTGGTCCTGTAATTTGTTCACCCAGAAATTTGTAGATCCAATAGATCATGATGAACTCGTCCCTTCTGTGCAAACGTTTTCAAAAACAAATTAAAATCGAAGAAGATACCATACAATACCACCCCGTACCAGGGTGGTATTGTATGGTATTGTGTGGTATTTTTTGGTCCTGTAATTTGTTCACCCAGAAATTTATAGATTCAATAGATCATGATGAACTCGTCCCTTCTGTGCAAACTTTTTCAAAAACGAATTAAAAACGAAGAAGATATCATATGGTATGCAGTTGGTACCGAGGGGCCAGAATTTTTTTTCTCAAAAAATACTGAAAATTGATCTCATTTTGTAGAGCACGATGAACTCGTTCCATCTGTGCAAAAAAAAATTAAAATCCGAGTTAAAACGAAAAAGATATGAGTCAATTAAGAAAGCTAGAAAAAATAAAAATGGTCTTTAATTCTCCTTCTTTAGGTCTGAATTTTCTAAATAAAGGGTCCAGATTTGGTTATTGATGAGAGCCCAGCTGTAGTTAATTAATTTTAAAAAGTAATCCTTCAATAATATATGGTAGAGTTTTGTGTACTTTTCTCTATTTCAAATTTTCTGCAACGAGAGTGAAAGTAGGAAGAACATTTTTGTCTTTACACATAAATTATTTATTTCATAAAAAATATCCACATCAAAATTTGAACACATGTCTCTTATAAAGACAACAATCACAACCAGTAACACAAAAGCAATTTGTTGATTCCTTTTTTATACAAAACATAGACGAAGTTAACTCTGAAAATCAGAGAACTTTTCCATCATGATTAGCAAGCCCACTAAGTCTATCGTATGTATTTTTTATCGTGCTTGATACTTCTATTTTCAAAGTAGAGTTTCATGTAATTTTCTCAATTTTAAATTTTTGATCTCTCCTTAATTTTTGCTAAAGGTAAATTGGTAATTGGCTAAAATGGAAGAAACTAATTATGTTAATTTGTATTGTATCCTTGTATTTTTCAATTTACATTAAAATTTTGTGCTTTTTTATCTTTGTTATTTTCTCTTTCTAACTTCCTCCAAAAATTTCCATCGTGCAATAGTTTGCGCCCCTTTCACTTCCCAGTACAAGGCTGCCATTGAAAACCAATCTTCAGATATCTTTTGGCCTATGGTTTTTATTGTTGGAGATTTAGGCTGATCGAGTAGAAGATTTCAACTCCAATATCAATCCATGGCGAATAGAATGGAGTTCATCAATAAATGGAGTTGCAGAAGGAGGATTAGAAATTGAATTTTTGGTTGAATCATATGCCTCTTGAGATAAAATTTTGGTGGTACAACGGAGAGTGATGGCTATCGGATCTTTGGGTTTATGGTTTTTGCAACTATCTTTCTATCTTAAAACGAGGAATCATTGATTGATTTATTGAAGTAGGTCGATTTTTTATTCAACCTACTGAAACTATAAAGAGTGTCTAATTTTGCGCCTTATTACTTTGATAGAGTCTATTCATATATTGGAGGCAAAGCAGTCAAAATCGGGATTTTACGTAAAATAAAAAATGAGGGTAAAATCGAATCGTAAAATCGTGAGACTTTAAGTTCCATATAAAAATGAAGACAGAATAATATTAGTAAGGAAAATCACGAATAACAGAAGAGCACATAACACTTACAATGATAATTTCTCAAGGTTAATGTTAAGAGGTGATGAATCGATGATGATTAATAGGTAGATGTGAATTGATTATAGTCGATGGTGGTTAGTGTGAGAGAACTAGATGATGTTGGTGGACGAGAAGAAAAAGAGGCGTAATTTTGTAAATTCTAGGGAAAATAAGTAAAATTGACTCAAAGATTTGAATCGTAAAATCGTAAGATTTTTTTAAAAAATTAGGATTTAAATCGTGAATAGTGTAGGATTTTAATGTCCATAGATTATAGTGAAATCAGAATAGTTAAGTAAAATCGTAAAAGCGTAGGATTTTAGGATTTAAATCGGGGATTTGACTACTCTAATTGGAGGTAACCCTGATTTTTTTCGTTTGCTCTTAATTTGTGATGGTCCCCTCTTAGATGAGTTCTTAGTATATAGTTGACTTGAATCAACAACTCTTGATTTCTTTATGATTAATGACATATTGTTCATAAAAGGAGAACATTGAACCCTTTATATACGATTATGAGGTTTAAGATTTAGTTTCAAACTATCTATGGGTCGTGTGGAAATTTCAGTGAGCTTTTATACTTTATCTTTCTTGACAATCAACTAAACAATAACATTTTAACGGGAACTTAATTATCATTATAAAAATGAGATCAATGATACATTTATATATTTTATATTCTTAAATGATTA